ATTTTACCTCTGCCAACAGATGTTTAATTCGCCATTATTTCTTAATCGCCAATTTGTTAGTTTTTATAGCTTTTGGCTGACTTAATTTTGTTCTGTAGCTGAAATGGTGAGAAGGCAAGCCCTGTTTCCTGGGGATTCTGAGTTCCAACAGCTCCTTAATATATTCAGGTTGGAAATCGCTCTACTAATGCCGTACTTTTCAGACCTGGAGCATGTGACAAAGCAGAAAATTTTTTGTTTTTACTTTTTACAATTCTTTTTCTAATGGCCAGTATTGTATTTATTGCAATTTGTCACGCCTTTCTCTGATAATCATTTCATCAAGGTTGATTCCTACTTCCCAAAATTCAACTTCAACGTTGACCTCATTTTTATTTGTGGTCGTTGAAGGTTGTTGGGTACTCCAAATGAGGAGCAATGGCCAGGAGTTACTTCTTTGAGGGACTGGCATGTCTACCCCCGGTGGGAACCACAAAACTTGGCACGAGCTGTTCCGTCTCTGGGACCTGAAGGAGTAGATCTTCTTTCGGTTAGTGTTTTTGTTTCAACTACCAAGTTTTGACTGTTGCATCCTATGCCTTTTAGGAACAAAATATTATAACAAAATAAGTTACTATCAGTCAACGAGAAATTTGCAGTCTCGATTTTGTTGTTTTGGATGAACACCAATATCCGGAGGCAATGATACGTGTACTAAAAAATCTATTTTTATTGTCAAGCATTTACACATTTGAATTCAAGCATGCCATTTTATTCAGATACATTATGGGACTAATTGAATTGAATGTGATATTGGCGTCCTGCAGAAAATGCTCAAGTATAACCCTGCTGAGAGAATCTCTGCAAAGGCAGCACTTGATCATCCCTACTTTGACGGCCTGGACAAGTCTCAATTCTAACCACGTGCTCATCCACTAGTCACAAGTTCGTGTGCAGATGTCTCCGTTTGCTATGTTATGGGGGTAGTTACCAGAAAATTTCTCATGCTGTGCCTAAGGATCTCTTGAATCAATTAGGTGAAATCGTTTGTCATCATCTTGGTGATCTGGCTGGACAATTCAATGCAACTTTCCTTGAGGCTTAGTCTTTACGAGCCATCACTCTGGTTGAGAGGGATTTGAGAAATCTTGTTTACCTTCAAGATTGTATTATTTGCTTTAGCTTATAGTTATGTATAACCCCGCTATTAACCATGTGAATGCTTTGTCATTCTCTCTGTCTTGCCTTTTGTTGTCAATAATGACTTAGGCTAATTCATCAGAAACACATGAAAGTGCCAAACTATTCCAGTCACTTGACATGAGATTAGAGATCTTATAAAAAATGGTTTATTAGGCAGACACTATAAAATATGTTAAAATATATTTTGGATTTTTTAAATTATCCACCACTAATTATCGTATTTAAAAAAAACAAAATATTGAAAAAATGTGCGAGAATAATATTTTTGAATGATTTTCCTCACATATTGACTCATGCCTTTCTAGTGGAAAAAGGTTTTGACTTACCTTTGTTTTGGGCCAAAATCAAATTGGACCAAACCACTTAGTTTGTTGAAACTGTAGACTTGCTCACTTTGAGGGTGAAGTCAGTTTGATTGAATTGGATCTGAGTCATGTTAAAGGATTTTTTTTTTTTGGGGGGGGGGATGCAATTTCAAATAAATTAGGTTTGAATTCATATTACATTTTAAAAATAAAACTGAGTTTGGATTAATATTAGGTAAAACAGAGTTTGAATGAAATTGATTTATAGTCATACATTTAGATAAGTTGACTTAATCAAAATGCAGATAGCCCAGATAATCAATTTTGAAAGCTTGTAAGGTAGTCTTAAAAATTTATCTTAATACTCATTTTTAAAATGTAATACTCATGAAGGCAATCAATTACCTATGACTATGAGGCAATCAATCAAATACTCATTTTGATGGGTTCTCTTTTAATACTTATCATCACAATGAATATATGCTTGTTGTGTGATGAAATTTGAACAATTCAAAATTTAATTTAAATGGTATGAATTTGAAGTTTTTAATCTGCAATATTCCAACAATAAAATTACTTTTTAAGAAGTATTAAATATAAGATTATTTTTATTTAAAAATTTTCATTTATTAAAACAAAAATTATTTAAAACAGAAAAACTTAAATTGAGTTTGGATAATCCAAAAATGAATATGGATGATCCAAATTAAAAAAAGCATGCCGTGATGTTTTTTTTTTTTAATCATTATAGAACATGCACCCATATTTTGATTAAATAAATTTTAAAATCTTCAACTCGTTATCTCATAAGCAACTCTCACGAGCTTACGCATTTTGATCAAATCATTTGGCCCAAAATCATTAAGGATTTCACATTCATATAATTAATTTAAATCAAACTAGTAATAGAGTTTTTTGGCCCAAAAAACCGGTAATTATTGAACTGGACAGTTGCTAAGCGTCATTTTCAATTGGATTTGGTTGAGTCTGACTCAATCAGTTTTGTTCAATTTTAAAACCATCTAACGATTAAAACGTTAAATGATTCCACCAAAAAAATATTTAACAATAACAGAAATCATACCCCCGAAAAATAATTGTAATTCATATGCACAAATTCATCCACATTATATTTGATTTAGGACATATTTAAATAATAATTAATAGTATCGCGACAAATGCGCCAATATTTCATGTTATTAAAAACGTAACCAAAAAAAAAAAAAGTAAAGTGGAAAAATTGATATTATCATAAAACAGTTTATTGTGTTGGACTCTAAAAATTAACTAGGGGTTGAAATCGGTTCCAATTATAATATTTATTGTATTTATAATTTTTTAAAATTAATTTGCTAAGTTGTAAATTAATTTGTTAACTTGCTTGGATTGAGAAAAAATTTGTGAGAAAAAAAAACCTAAAGAAGAAAACACGAGGAGAAATGAATTTTCAGAAGAGAAAATATAGGAAGGAGAAAAAGTAGGAAAAAAAATAAAGTGGACCCCATATCTTATTTGAGCCCCAAATTTTCTTTCAATATATATAAGAGATTTAGAAAGGAAAACAGGATTTCCATAACTGTCCTTTCTTTCTCTGAGTCTTCATATTTATTTTTTATTATATTTAAAAAATATTTGCTTTTTATTTTTATCTTCAAATAATATTTTTATTAAATAATTTGGTTGTAGAATATAATACTATGAAAAAAATATATAAACCAAATAACTTAATCTAAAATTATTTCATGACGCTAATATTAGTATAATGTTCTTATTGCACTATTTAATTTGATTTAATTTTAAATATGATATGTTTTAATAAGGATATTTTAGTCATTTTGATATGTGCTTATCTTTTTTTCTATTTTTTTGGTATATCCAAGCAAGAGAGATGATAATACATTCTCTCTAGTTTTTCCTTCCCTTTATTTTCTCTCCTTTTATTTTCTTTCCTTCCAACTTTTTTTCCCATCCAAGCAAAACATTAATATAAGATCTAATTAATTAATTTGAATAGACTAAGAATGTTAGTTAAATTAGTTAATATGATATATATTTTTTTAAATATCCTAATCATCTTACTTAATTTTCTCCCTCCCTCTTTTACTTCATTATTGTTGATAGATTATTAATAGGTTTAATTAGTAAAAAATTGATAAAAATTTGAAATAGATTTTTAGGATTAACATCAACTTTCAAATTATATTTATATTAAAGACTGGAGTAGTATAATATTACCTCAGGTTCTTAATATATGAGTTAGATAATTAATTTGTGAATATTAAAAAATTAGTTAAATAATTTATTTGTAATACATGAGTATTATCTTACTTAAAATATTCTTGTTAATTATGTACTACCTCCGGTCCTAATTATAAGACCCAGTTGACTAATTTGAGGAAATTAAGGAAGTAAGTTAAGTTAGTTATTTGTAATAAATAAGTGTTGTCATTCCTAAAATATTCTTGTTAATTATGTATATTAGCTAGAACTATCATTATTAGAAGAACTATATTGGAAAAAATACATAAATATGAGAAACAAAATGGATTGGAGTCTTATAATTAGGACCAAACTAAAAGTCAAACGGGGTATTATATTAAAGACCGGAAGTAGTATATTACAGTAAAAACTCTTCAACATTTTTTGTTAGTTCCACTAATAATGTTAAGTTTATAGGACTAAAAATGCCCTTTTCAAATATGAAGGATTAAAAATTAACTTTGTATAAAGTTAAAAGATCAAAAATATACTTTAATCTTGAATAAATAAATAAATATAAAAGATAAAATAGATTAAAATTTTATATTTAAAACTAAATTAAATTTTTTTTACTATCTTTTATATTTAAGACAATAGATGCAGTATATAGAAGGGTATTTTAGGTTGATCCTGTTATATTTGTCACATTTAACTAATTTATTTGACTTATCAAACTAATTTCTTTAAGTTGTTTATTAATAAAGGTAAGCAATGGCCAAAAAAAAAACGACAAGCAGAAATGGCAGGACACGTGGGAGCGAGGACGGAGTTCGTTGAGGCAAAAGAAGTGGCGGGACTTCGCTTCCAACAACGAACTCCCTTCCCTCTGCTTCTGCGGCCATCCTATAAGCCCGCAAATCTCATCTCTCTCTTATCGCATTAACTTCAGAAAATATCATTTCTGTTGAGAAAATCCCAAAGATTTTATTCCATTTTTATGATTCTTAAAATCAGAAGCCAAATTCCTTGGATCGTCACGAGAAATCTGGAAACACCACCAACCTTCACTGAATCCTCATCACTCATATCGATGCCTTCCCTTTCAATCGTCCTTTTCCTTCTCTTTCCCTCTCTCATATGAGCTGGTGATTAATACATTCCCTTTTTTTTGTTTGATCACTTTCCTTCAATCTATGGATTCCTCCTCCTCGTTCTCTGATTAATACTTCGCAGTTCTTTCCCATTTTCGTTATGCGTAATTCTGGATTTCACGTTGCAGACTTTTTCGATTTTGTGGTAGCTGTCGTCCCTGGATTCGAAGCTAAAGTGTTTTGACTTTCGTTTTCGTTTCTTCCTCTTCCTCTTTGTTTTTTTCCCTCTGAATCTTTTTGTCTGAGAGATGAAGGATACGGAGAAAAAGAAGTACCCCATTGGCCCTGAGAATTATGAACTACTCGAGGAGATTGGCCAGGGGGTAAGTGCCCACGTACATCGTGCTCGTTGCATTACTTTTAATGAGATCGTTGCCATAAAAATCCTGGATTTTGAGCGAGAAAACTGCGATCTGGTAATTCGCTCTCACCTCCCTCTTGCCTCTTCTTTTTTCAATGCTATGGTATGGCATTACTAATAGGTTTAGGCAGTTTTCGCCTTGTGCCATTACGCCATAATCCCGCCGGTACTACTTGCCAGTAGGGTAAAATGCTTGGAACGAGTTCAACATACATACTTTATCCGACCTGTTCAAAATAGAATCATGGGCACCCAGCTTTCTCTGACAAGAACTATTTCTCTTGTCGAGTTTGCCATGGCATTTTTTTGCGTCAACCATTAGCATAGAATGGGGAAGGCACCCCCGGGTGTATGACCAGGACACAAAACGAATGGTTGGCAAATTTTTAATTGTTGGAGTCACAGAAAATAGTAAAACAGAATACAATGCCCCGAGGTGAATCTGGAAAAATTGTGTATTAATGCAATACAGTACAATGTATGTTGTAAATTATTTGGTTACAAGAGGACAAATTAGATAATGGCACAAGTATAATTCAGTCATGGAAGAAGCACTACATAAGTATTACCATTATATGAAAGACAGCAAAATACATGTACAGCACTACACAACACTAAAGATGATATTACCTCTACCGTTTGCTGTTTAGTTACTCATACTCTCCATGCAAATGAAACCCTTCACAACTTTGTAATAAATGTAACCTAGATGTCATAGGGTTTTGTTTCGCTCTTAGTTTTTGCTCTAGGCTGGTGCCTTCCTCTTACAGTGTATTTTTTGGGTTGAATGAATTATTCCTTTCCTTCATAAAAAAAAAAAAGAAAGAAGAAGATGGTTTTACCTCAAGAGAATCATTCTGAACCTTTATTTATAGTCTTAGCTGTTGGTGGATTGGATACTTTGCAATTTGAGCCTCAAGAGAATTTTTCTTTCTCTAGGACGCATGTACAATTTATTTGACAAATTTGTTGTGTATCCTCCTTATTAACCTTTAAACTGTCTTTGAAATGATACTTCCTCTGCAGAATAATGTTTTTCGTGAAGCACAGACCATGACCTTGGTTGACCACCCTAATGTCCTCAAATCACACTGCTCCTTTGTTAGCGATCATAATCTATGGGTTATCATGCCATATATGGCTGGTGGTTCGTGTCTTCACATATTGAAAGCCGCCTACCCAGATGGCTTTGAGGAGGTTGTAATAGCAACAATATTGCGAGAGGCTTTGAAGGGTTTAGAGTACCTTCATCATCATGGCCATATACATAGAGATGTTAAAGTGAGTATTAAAGTTGCATTTTCAGACCTTGTTACAATTTATGATATAGGCCAAAAATGCACGGTATTTTTGTTTTAGGCCATATGCGTATAATTTTCCGACCTTCAAGACCTTGAAGCTAACCCCTCGAACTAGAGGCTAAGTACAAATAACTGCCTGCCTTCAAAGAATTCATTATTTTACTATCAAAAGTGTGGCACTGTTATATAATAATAACATCATATACGAAAGTTGACCCTAAGAGTTTCTTAGAAATAATAGTTAGGATTATAGCGGTTAGGATCTTTAGTGACTCTATATACGGAACTATTCCTCTATTTTTTATTCATGTGACAATATAAACTGTACTACTCAGTTTTTATTCCCTCTGTTTTCTGCATAAACTCCTCTGTTTTTATTTCTTACTCTCTGACCTCTAGCTTTTCTTCCTCTGCCTTCTCCCCCACCCCCCTTTTCTCTCTTGCACATTGGAGAGTTATTAGTACAAAAACAAATAGTTTGTGGGTTTATTTAATTTACACGTCACTCATGCGATAGTAAATTAATTGGTTTATTGACAGCAGGGATTGTATAACACAGAAAATACAGTTTGGGGTCCATTTTAAAATTTTGAAGGTCAAAAGAATTACATGCATTTGACTCAAAGTTCTTGCTTTGTGGCCAATATTATAGTAGTTTTAGGTTCTTGCCTTCGACCAACTTGTATCTGCTTCTATAGGCCGGGAACATTCTAATTGATGCGCGCGGTGCAATCAAGCTGGGGGATTTCGGTGTATCTGCTTGTCTTTTTGATTCAGGTGACAGGCAACGTACAAGGAATACATTTGTGGGGACACCTTGCTGGTATGATCTGAGTTTTTTTTTTTGGTAACTTGTTGTTCTGTTGATATTCAAAATGATTCTCTTGAACTGCTGGAAGTTGATGCATTCGCAGATTTTATCTCCGAATTTGCCCAATTTTTATGTAGTCAGTATACACATGTGCGTTGAGTCTGTTGCCATTTCTTCTTTTTTCATGTCATATAATAGCTTATCTATGATCATGAGTGTTGGAAATAAACTGTATAACATTTTGGTCGCAGGATGGCACCTGAAGTCATGGAGCAACTGCATGGTTACGACTTCAAGTCAGTGATTATGATAATTATATATTTTTCCCTTTCTTGTCACACTTCCTGGTGGTAACATTCAGTTGGAAATCGTACTCTTGTAATTGCAGAGCAGATATGTGGTCTTTTGGTATAACAGCACTGGAGCTTGCCCATGGTCACGCTCCTTTCTCAAAGTATCCTCCCATGAAGGTGTGCTTACTAAGACAGGAACCTTTCTCATTGAACCCTGAATGATGTTTTCAGGAATTTAACCTTCTACATGTTCAGGTACTTCTTATGACATTGCAAAATGCACCGCCTGGCCTTGATTATGAACGAGATAAGAAGTTCTCTCAGGTCGGCTTACTTTGAATATATACTAAAACTACGTCCTATGTTTCCGTTTTCAATAAGGTTTGATCCTTGAACCCATTTTTCCCCTTCTATCCTGAAATCTTTCTTCTATGTTGTCAGTCATTTAGGACGATGATTGCTAAATGCTTGGAAAAAGATCCTTCAAAACGACCCACTGCAAGCAGTTTGCTAAAGAATTCCTTCTTTAAGCGAGCTCGCTCTAGTGATTATATTTCGCGAACGCTTTTGGAGGGGCTGCCTGCATTAGGTGATCGCATCAAAGCCCTAAAGGTTGCATATTGTTGCCTAATAATTTTTTCATGCTTCCATGTTGTATAATATTTTATAGGGCTGTCATTCTATTGCAGAGGAAAGAAGAAGATATGCTTGCAAAAGAACAAATTCCTGATGGGCAGAAGGAGGAAATATCACAGGTAGTGTGTGTGTGTGTGTGTCTGTTTTTTTGTCTTATCAGCAAGCAAGCAAGCAAACACTCAACAAAATTATTTTTGACTTTTTGTGTAGAATGAATACAAGCGAGGAATTAGTAGCTGGAACTTCAATCTTGAAGATATGAAAGCTCAGGCTTCATTGGTACCCAAGCTACCTTATCTTTTCTCTCACAATGAAGTTGTGATTCCTGAATTTTAAAAGTATTTTTTATGTCTTTTAGATACAGGATTTTGATGATGCAATGTCTGAAATCAATCCAGGAGGAAGTTCGAATTCCACATCACCAAATGATGTGCAAGAGAAGCAATCACCACGTGCAAACCAATCTCAACTTACTGACATGGTATTCATAAATTTTTCAATGCAGCTGGAAAATGTTTGCCGCACTTAATATTCGTTTTCCCCCTTGTTTTTCTCTTCTACCTTGCAAGCAGAATAATATTTTCTTTGAGTAGTTTCTAATAGCAATGCTTCACAGGAAGATAACGACGAGATGCGAAATCAATCAGCTCCTGTGCCTGCAGTAGATTTCACAACAACTGATGCCAAGTATGATAATACATGCAGTAAATTATTTTATGGAAATCATGTTGTAAGAGTTTTGAGAACATCGCAGGCTTTTGCCTGTGCCTAAGGTTTTTGTTTTTGTTTTCACTTCTAGAATCAGCAAGGGGCTAATAAATTAATCATATCTTTTCAATCCAGGGTTAGAAGTGAAAAATCTAATGATGCCTCTATCACCAGTTTAAGCCATGAACACAACTTATCACAGAGTGCTTCACCGCGTCTTGAAGATCATGTAGTGGACCATAATTTTAGTGAAAAATGTGATGTGGAGAATGGGGGAAGACAGGTGGAGCCTACTCATTCTTACCACAGAAGATGTTCATCAAGCATCTTACCTGAAGTTACTCACACACCTGCTCGTGGGGAAATGTAAATGTTTCAACTAAATCTTTTCATTTTATAAAATTGCATTAGATTGTTGCAATAGTCATTAGCATCATGTCTGTGCTGGACATTTGGGTGCTGATCTATCAATCTCGTGCTGCCTTGGCTTGGATGTCTTACGATGTTTCTGGTTATGCCCTATATATATTTGACCGAGCTTCATATGCTCCTTATTCTGGCTACACGAACTTAATTTCAAGAGACTGGACTGCTTTATCTTTCTTCTTTTCATTGGAGTCAGTAACTAAGAAAGATATATTCGTTTCATTCTTGCTTCAAACCTTAAACTACTCTAATTAAGTACTGCGAACATGGCGATATCTTACGCTGCTCAATTTGGTGTTTATGGCCACTGCATGTGTTCATTTCATTGCTATATTATATTCAGAAACAAACGGAGAAAGGAGTATTTATCATAGATTTCAGATTTTTTTTACTACAAGATTTCAGGTTTAATAAATAAGATTATCATATTCAATTAAGATTATTTATTTCTTCATTTTGGCTTCTTAATTTGAATGGTTTTGTGCATCATTGGTAGTATGCTTCTGCCTTTCAGGTATCAGATAGTTATTATATACTCTTGTTGATGTTGCGAAGGAAAGTTGATAAAATTCAATGTAATTGAGTTTTAATGAAAAAGAACTTTCGACAAAATATCTTGTCATTTTTTTCATGTAAATGATTTCATTTACAGAATCCCATAGAAATTTAAATCATGAATTTTACCTTCGTCAATAATTTGGGAAACGGTCTCTTATGCCTTATTTTACTGGCTTTTGACAAACTGTGTCGAATAAGTGGTGTTTCCATTGATTTTACAGGTGAGAATTGACAATGGTCAGTTGTATTATCATTATTCACGCTTATTTATTATATGAATGACAGAGAGAAGATACATAATCTGTCCCATAGCGTTTCAAGTTGCAGTGCAACAACAGTACCACAGTCAGGAGAAGGTACATGATCATATTACTCCACTGGTCACATGACTTGATTGTCAAGTTCAAGGAAATGTCACAAACTATTTTCTCTTTCATCTAACTGGCAGCTCATGAGCCATGCAAAAATGACTCCCGTGTCTTATTAAAAATAAATATGTCCTTGCAGCAGCTAATCTCTCTCTTTACTTTTTTGGTAATATGCAGCTGCAAATTTGGACGACACTGATGAGAAAGTAAAGGTGCCAGTTGTTCAGCAGAGAGGACGTTTTAAGGTTACATCTGAGAATGTTGAATTAGAAAAGGTGAATACCCTGATGTAGATGACGCGACTTTCCTTAAGACTAAATAATAAATGAAGTTTTCTTTCAGGTGGCCCCAACTCCTATTCTGCAAAAGAGTCAAAGCATGCAGGTTAGTTTTTTGCATCATGCATTACTAAATTTCGATCAAAACAGGCCGTTCGGATACCTCAATTGCCATGTTCTCTCTATCATCGGTCTATCATGTCCGAAAGCAGTATAGATATATGGAAAATATTATTAGATGTTCATCAACATCCAGTTCACTAACCTCTTCAGCTTTATAGAGAAAACTCAGCTCCCACTAGGATAAAATGACCAAATGAGTAACCCTTTTCAATTTACATTTGGCTTAGGCAATAATGGAGTCTGATTTGCAGCTTATGTTTATACCTAAATGAGTAAAACCTCCTCTTAACATGAAGTTGAGTTAGCATCACATACCAATATCTAAGCAGACATGGCTTTCTAATTAACTGAACATCTTACGTTTACCTGGTTCCTGTAGGTTATTAGCTCGCACAATGTAACTCCTCTACCTTCAATTTTACCACTATCAACGACATCCCAGGCTACACCAACAAATGTTTCTGGTTCTTCGCTTTACCAATTATTGCTTGTGTGCTGCAAGCAAATATCGAACAAAGGGTATGTTCAATCATATTCATATGGTCCTAACTCCTGCAGCTAGTATCCATAATAACTACCTTTATATACGTCAAAATAAGGTGACACTATCTTACTTTTCTTTTGATATAGGACACTATCTTGCTTTTAATGAAACATGTAACCGCTGGTGACTCTACAGGTTCCTTTTATTTGAAGTTTTCTTCAGATCTTTTCCTTTGTAAGGTTTCTATTTATGTACATAATTTTTAGATTATCATATCTGTCAATCGTGCAGTTGATGGAGCATCTAACCAATCACCGGCTTCGGCAATGGAGAAATCTTTGGTATGAATTTTAATGGCAATAGCATTAGAAATCATTTAACTCTATATGAGGATGTATCTGGCTGAGAACTATCAGCGCTTGGCTACGGTATAAGGAAGTTTGAAGCCGGTTTTGGATAGTGACACTAACTGATTTTAGGTTTGAAATCAAAGAACTTCAACGAGAAAACGC